TGTTCAATATCCACACTTTAATGAAAACTAGTGCAAAATTGAGTTGTTCAAAATGCAATTTTTGCACCACTACCACCCCACACTTTTCTGAGGAAAGAGGTTTTCGCATTAAAAAATATGATTTTTACAGCAAAACATTATTTTCGCAAGGAAATAATTCACTGGTTGCCATTCTGTTCAATATTTATGAGATTGTATGCCAGATCTCACAACTTTTATGATGTATGTTTACAGTCGTCAACACCTGAACATGACCCCAAAAACCTTCCTCTCAAACCAGGCAATGCCTCAGCTGAAGGCATGACTGAATGAGAAACTGGGAAATGATGTCTGCAGTGCTCTCCCAGATACAGGACACATTGAGAGAAATAGTTGCATTAGTTCTGCAAGGTGTCTCCCTGGCTCTCTTTCTCAATGCACCCTGCAACTGAGAGAAACCCTTCAGCTCTGGTGTTGTCTTGATTAAGAAGTAGGTTTGGGGAAGAGGGAACAGGAGAAACAGCTATAGCCATGGAGTACCACATTGATGTTTTGTGTGCAAAACACACAATGCTGCACAGAAACATGTGTATTTCTGTGCAGAACAATTTTCCAGTCCAGTTTGGGATGAACAAGTACTGGGTGAAAACTGTACAACATTCTCATTTCTGTGTTATTCTGTGTTATTCTTCCATCCAAGTTTCCCAAATGATAGAGATCCTTTTTTTTTTTGGCTGGAAAGGGAATAGCAGGAAATATTTTTCTCCCTGCTAAATGATTATTAGTCACATTTGAGGAGATCCAATCAGAGAATTTTCTTCCCCCAGATGTCAGAATCTGGAATGCCAGCTGCCATTTATTGTTCTACTTTGGGGCCATGTAGATTCTGTTATCGAAACACACACATTACACACAGACTGAGTACATTTAGGCTGAACTGGTGACTGAGAAAGCACATCTCATTGTCTAGGAACTCTACATAGTTCTATTAGGTCCAAGATAGCTGTAACTAATTTTCATAGCATTATAATGATCTCCCCTAGTTGATGAAACTATGAGCTGCGGCGTTATGTTTTAAGTTCAAAAATCCCTCCAATCTCAAATACCGTTCATTAGAAAATGCCAATATTAGAAAATGTTCTGCGGAGTCACTGCCATTGCTTCCATATTTCACAGATGTAGCACAGAAAGCCAAATAATTCTATAATTACATCCTAAATCAAGGGAGGGTAAATGACAGAATCATAAACATGTATCTGGCCATGGTTACAACAGAAATGCTGCAGTACTCACTGGAGATGTCAGTAAGAATGCTTTGTTAAAAATAAAAATATTTATATTCAAACGGGTTCTCAGTTAATTTCAGTTATGTTCCAATATAAGGAAAGCAAGAAAATAAATACACATTTCTATACAAGCTGATCAAATGTCTAAATATAAGTCAATTGGTGATTTTATTTATATGTAATTCTTTCAAATGTTGTGAGCTTTGTTAGGTCTTCTATTCATTGAGTCACAATTAGAGAAAAATGTCTTTTCAGCAATGAAGTGTCAATCTTTTAATAGTAAAAAAGGTACAAAAATCCACCTCCACAGCCTTTTTATTAATTTCTAAGAATTGTTAAATAATTCAAAAGGACATTCATGACTTTAAATAAGAAGGAACTTTCCACAATCAAATTTACTCATATAGTTATCTCCTCCTGAAATGCAGCTACTATGAGACAACTCCAAAATTTCTGTGTTAAGAAAGAATTAGCAAAATTACATCTTCTGATTTAGAAAACCTTTGTGAATAGATGGGATTCTGGGATTTGTAGTTTTGTGGGATAATTATATTTCTCTGTAGAACAATTAATGTGTATGACAATTAATGTGTTAAAATTACCACATTAATTGTCAGCTGCATTAAGATCACTCTGACCAAAAGGTCATGAGTTCGAAGCCATTCTGGGTTGGAGTGGGCTTCCAACCAATTATGTAGCCTGTTGTCGACCTTTGCAACCCGAAAGACAGTTGCATCTGTCAAGTAGGAAAATTAGGTACCACCTTGTGTGGGGAGGCTAAATTAACTAATTTATGAGGCCATAAAAAAGACTCCAGCAAAACACTCCAGCAAAAAGCATGCGGGGAATGCGGAAGTACTTCATCAGTGTCGCAGATGGACGATGAAAGCGACAGCTCCCCTGGCGGCCAGAAAAAGTTAAATAGCCTCTGTCTATGTCTGTATATGTTGTATGTCAAAATTGGCATTGAATGTTTGCCATATATGTGTACACTGTAATCCGCCCTGAGTCCCCTGTGGTGAGAAGGGCGGAATATAAATACTGTAAATAAATAAATAAATACATAAGTAAATAAAAAGACATGACCAGATAACTTCTTCAAAGACAACCATTTTTAATTCTGGACATAGAAACCAAAACCAATTACGTGGGTAGAAAACATTTTGTCCTCCAGGCAGGCCCGTAGCCAGGATTTCGTTTCGAGGGGGGGGGCTGAATTTTTTTCAGGGGGGGGTCGGGGGGTGAGTTTCGGGGGGGCTGGGTCTGAGTGAAAGAGGGTCTAGCCTAGCAAACCTTTTGTATCATTACCCCAATACCCCCATGCATATGGGATATATTGAGTATGGTGATCAGATCATGATATGAATAAAATAACAGTTTAAATAATGCACCAGTAAGGCCTTTTCGCAAACCACCATGAGAATTTCTCAAGCCCCCCCCCCCCCCCCCCCCCCCCCCCCGCCCCGGCTACATGCCTGCCTCCAGGTGTTTTGTACTACTGCTCCCACGGGTTTTTTTTTTTATCATTGGCCATGTTGGTTGGATCTGATGTGAATTGATTAGAGCTGTGAGGAAAAACAAAGGTTCTCCCCCCATGAAACCAGCCAAAGCAGTCCACCAAAAAAGCCTGTTTGATATAAATAGGTCTTTGAGGAACATATATCTTTTAAAAAGTATTTTATTATGCTTCCATAACATATGCAAAGCAAACAAAAAGCACTAAGAAACTCTAAAATAAAAACACAGAGAAAACAATCCTTAGTTACCCCCTGTCCAGCTACCAAAACCCCCATCAAAAATATACAAATTAAGTTGCCCTCCTGCACTTAAAATCAAAGGCTTCAACATAAAACTATAATAAAACTCTCATTGCTACTTAATTAAACCTTAAAGTTCTGCTTAAAAACCAAATACCCAGTCCCCATGTCACAAGTCCAAGTCTCCATACCAAGTCCCCATGTCACAAACATCCAACTTACAAATGACTCATAGTTAAGAATGGGGGTTAGACCTCAGGAAGTGAGAGAAATCTACCCCTAGAAAGGGAAATTCACTCCTGAAATAGTTATCATAGGGGAAAGGGGTCTCCACTGAAGCTTTATCACCAATTCTTGTTTCCACAATAATTCAAAATGTTTAAAATCCAATTAGCACAGGGACAAAAAGTGAGGGGGGGGGTGTTTTCTGAACAGGGGCACAGACAGTAAAACAAACACTATGCTACCCAAAATGTGTGTGTGTGTGTGTGTGTGTGCGTGTGTGTGTGGCTGGAATTAAAATGTATCTGTTCCGACTTGCATACAAATTCAGCTTAAGAACAAACCTACAGAAATCATCGTGTTCATAACTTGGGAACTGCCTGTGTTATCTTTCCTTCTTTATGTCAGATACAAATGATAAGCAATTGTCTAAAATGTCTGAAGGTTTTTCTCTGATTAAAAGTAGATAATTTATCAATTTCTCCCATTGCAAAAATCTTCAAAATCCAAAACTCATATCTTAATCTTCCAAATGAAATCAGACGGATTTAATAGTTTTTCAACTTGATTGTGCTGCTTGCTTCCTGTGTTTAATGAGCAGAATAAAGGGATGGAAACACTAAGCTGGAAATTGGAAGAACAAAGTAAAAAGGGCAACAGAAAATATAGGAAATTGAACCAAACTATCTTTACGATCCAACAAACAGAATGATCGATAAAGGAAATGCATGAATGTTCCCAGGGGGAGGGAGGAGGGGAAAAGGAATGGAAAAGGGATGGATAGCATACAAGTATGGGATGAGGGTGATTATTACATATGAATTTTTTTCTTTCTTCTTTGTTAAATTGTATACACACACACACACACAGTGTATATACATCATCTATGTTATTTTCTAAACTTCCTCATGAGGAAATGTAGGTATATTATATGGAATTTATTAGACCCAATTTTTTAAAAAAAGAAAAAAAGAAAAAGAAATACTTAGCTGAAAATATTTTATTTGGGTTCCTTCTTAGCTTTTGTTTTTAGGCTCCTTTATTTACTAAATGTTAAATATGCCACTCAGTGGCAGGGCCAGGTTTGCTTTTGTGTTATGTGTTAAATGATCCAGACAGGGAGAGAACAAAAATAGAAACCAGGATGCTTCTTTGCTTTCAGTCTTCCTTGCAGTCATTTTGGTTAACACTTCATAATGCTGTTAAAATACTAATTGAATTAAAGTTAATTGAATAAAAACTAATTGGTGCAGTTTAAATCATTTGCACTTACATGAAATAAATAATGCATGCAGTTGTGATTAGTAAAGTTCAATTTCTAACAAATAAGGGATGAAATATAAATTATGATTAAGCGTGATTCACAAATCTGACAACACCCTTTAGATTTTAGAGTGGCAGAAGTCCAAATGCCTTTCCTGCTGAATCAACTAGTGTTTGTGATTGTGTACTGGAATGAGGCTTGAATAAGATATGATTTCCATTAACAGGTCTAATTTGAAGAAACCTGTAATTGTGAAAAGTGCTGTTGGGTCAAATTATTTCAAAACGTCTTTTCTGTTCAACAACTAGGCTCCTATAAGAATTGCTTTCCATTCTCTTAAATCCAATCTAATCTTTGCTGTGAAATTTCTGCAACCAATGAAGGATAATCTGCAGGGATTTTTTCTTAAACAAATATGTTTTTGAGATATTCCAACAAAAAGTTCTGCTTTCCAATACATTTTACTGCATTTATGTTTCCCTTTACAAACAGATTCACAGGACCTCATCAGATGGCCCTTACAAAGTCAGGAGACAGTGGGAGAAATCGTGGGGCAGCATCACGCTTTGTTCCTTACCATCAGGGTCATTGAGAGGTTGTAATATCCCTTCCCATGGCATTTCTCCACTGTCCCCTGCTTCCTCTTCACCTCCTCCAGCTTTCTTGTATGACCCTGACTCCTCTAGGCTCCATTTCTCTGTGCTGCCAGCACAGAGCCCCACAGAGCCCTGTTGGAAGTAGTCATGTGTCATATGATGGGCTCTGGGGGACTCCATGCTAGCAGCATGCTGGCAGTACGGAGAAACAGAAAGAAGATGCTTCTCTAGTTCAATGTGATGAGGTCATAGCATCATTAGATTGGAAACAAGGGGGTAAATCAAGAGCTCAGGCTATTTTAGGTGACACTGTTTAAAAGGACCAGCTTCCTGGTGCTTCTTATACATGGAAGAAAGGTAATTGCTATTCTACTGTTTTAACAAACCTATGAAAAAGACCAAAAGCAAACAAATAAGAAAACCAATTATCTCAATTGGGGGGTTGTATCTTAATCTTTTGTATCTGCTGTTGCACCCAGAAAGTGAGGAACCAAAGACAGATACATATGTTTAAGACCAGTTGCATTGGTTATGCAGGAAAATACAACAAACTTCAAAATACCAGTTCCAATTATGTCTTTACTAGGCCATCACAAAGTCACAGTGATTAGTTTTGAAAGATCACTTCTTTATCAGGCCAAGATATGAAAAATGATAGAGGAAAAGAAAAATGTCACAACAAATATTAAGCATAAAGATTGTATTGAGGCAGTCGGTGCAAGGTAGAGGCCCCATCACTGGCATTGCCCTCATGGCCAATTGTACCTGCATCAACACTCTCTCAAGTCTACCTTAGATGCCACCTTAAGTAAACATATCTCAAACAAGATGCAGGCCACAACTCTGGCATGCTCACTTTTTATCTCCTCTATAATGTTTAATGTCTTTGTGTGATGTAGAAATCAGTGCAGTCCAGAAGCTAATTAATCATGCCTTATAAATCATTACAAGTCCTTAAGCTGCATTGGAAGCTCCGCAGAATAGAAACACTTCTTTTTCTTGCAAGGCAATAACATTTTGCAGAACTTTTCATTCATGTATGCTTTGGCCTTGTTGTTCATTCATTCAGTCATTTCCAATTCTTCATGACCTCATGACCTCAGTCCATGCCAGAACTCCCTGTCAGCCATCACCACCCCCAGCTCCTTCAAGATCAATCCAGTCAGTTCAAGGATGCCTCGTTACAAAAGCTAAAAAAAATTGAAGTACACCTCCCACAATTCTTTCTAATTTTTTGTGTTTTTGAGTTTTCAAAAAGATACAATTCAACCCCCATTAAAATAAGATAAAATAGATACTAAAATAAAGGAACTGAAACAATATTAAAACAATTCCCAAGTCCACCCTCCATAACTTTCTCTACTCCTGTGACCACACCCTTTAAAAAAATAATACAAATAAATAAAAAAATTAAAAGACATAGAAGGCATTAAAAGCACAGCTGATTTCTCCCCCTCAAGCTAAAGCATCAATCAAAATGTTATAATGTATTTATAATTGCGTCAATGTCTGCTAAATATAAACAGATATAGTTAAAACTAATATCTACAAACAAGTGATATTATTATTAATAAACAATTTCAACATTGTTACTGAAGTTCAATTCTTATAATTTCATATTTTATTTCTGATCTCAAATTTTCCCCAAAATTACTTCCTTTTAATATAGATTAACCCTATTGTATATTAACATTTTTTCAATATAATATGTTATTGTATTTCCCCCTTTATTTTAAATGTTCCTGTTTCATCAATCCATTCTACATAAAAAAGCCTATTTTAAAATTTCTTCCTGAGTTCTGCTGTTTATCTGTGTGAGAGCCGTTCAGCAGTGGAACTCTCTGCCCCAGAGTGTGGTGGAGGCTCCTTCTTTGGAAGCTTTTAAGCTTTTAGTTTAGTTTTAAGCAGAGGCTGGATAGCCATCTGTCAGGGGTGATTTGAATGCAATATTCCTGCTTCTTGGCAGGAGGTTGGACTGGATGGCCCATGAAGTCTCTTCCAACTCCTTGATTCTATGATTCTAGTAGGCTATCCCACTTACCCACAAATAATCAGAATACTAAGTTTGTACATTTTAACTATAATTCAATTCTTGTAATTTCATCTTTTATATTTCATCTGAATATTCTCCCCAATTTTTCCTTTTAATCAGGATTGATCTTATTGTATTTCAACAATTTTCTATATCTTGTCTTATTGTTTTTCCCTTCTTTCTCATTGTTTTTATTTTATCAAGCCACACCCCTCCATAAAAAAGAAGTAACTGTTTTATTTTAATTTAATTATTCCAGGGTTCTCCATTTATTTATCCCAATTTGTCCTCGATTCTTTCTTGTACAATACGCCATCTTTAAATTAGCTATTTGCACATATAACTTACATGTTCCTCCCATGTAAATGGACTCACATTGAGTTTAAGCAATGCATTTGTTTGTTTGAACAAAACTTGAAAACTTGAACATTTCCTTCACTATGGTTCTCCATAGAATTCTTAGCCTTTCCTCCGTCTGAAGACCAATCTGCATCCATTTTTCTGCTTTGGTGGCATCCAGATACCCTGTCTGTCTATAGGAATCTGCCCATTTACCCACAAATCTCTAGTTCCTGTCATCCTCTCCTTCTGAGCTGACAATTCCTGATCAATCTGGTGTATTATAATTTTTTTCTTTCTTCCTCTTTTTCCTGATCTTTTTCTGTTTTTTTCCTGTAATTTGTTTTATTACTCTTAAGTTTTGTTTAGATTCAGTTATTGTACCTTTAAGTTCCTGCTTAATTAATACTTTGAGAAAGCCCTTTTAAAAGTTCCAACAGCATTTGCAAAATCTGTAGTTGTGACATCTTTCAGTATTTCTTCATACACAACTGGAACAGAGATTGGAAAGAGTTCATTACAACTTTACTGTTCGCCATAAACTAGTTGCTGTTGAAATGTCCTTATCTCTACTTGGAATGTGAACTGGTTTTACCCATGGGACTTTTCCCCCATGGAAGCCTTTGTAATCCTGAGCATTTTCTCCTAATCTTTATCTCCTTTATAGTGTTATACAAATATTCATAAATATTAATAAAAAATTTAACATGCAGAATTATTTTATTATCCACAACAAAGACTATGACAACATAACAACATGAAGTAGATTGTTGTTATTACATTGAAGGCTAATAGATCTTCCAGTCAAATTTAGTTACATTTATTTAAAGAAGTAAACCATTATCTTGCCTTAATTTAAGAAGGTTCCTAATCTTTATTTTTTATTGATTTGTGAAGTCAATGGAAGAGTTCTTAGAGCATGATCAGCATAAATGCTGGGACAGGTCCCTAGAGAGGCAAAATGGCAATCCGAGCCACTTGTGTTTTCTGTTTCCACTCCTTCTTGTTAGATTCATGGCCCACTGAAACAAATATTGGCAGGTGGATAACCCTTTTATTTCCTTCTATTCCTAGATGTCTTTTATTGGTTTGAGAGCCCCTGAAACAGCTTTTTTCTGTGGATAGTTTCTCTCCCACCTTGAGCCAAAGTAAGAGGAAACTTTCACTCAACTTCTCCCTCAAAGTCTGCTTGTTTACTATTACAATATTTCTAATGTAGAGCAAATAGTACACTAACTAAAGCATTAGGCTCAAGCAGACTGGCAATTCATATTTACGTTTATGCTACATTTAATGTCATTTTTGTCCAAATTCTAAAAGCAAGCATGCATTTCAGTGGGCATCTGGCTTTCAATGGCCAACTCCCTCGCTGCCCACTGCTGGGCCACAGCCCACAGGTTGGGAACCACTGCTCAAAGTAATAAAATACTGCAGTAATTGGTGGGATTTACTAGAGACAATAAGAGAAGCATCATTTGGAAATAAAAGCAGTTGGATCCAGCAATGAAACCATCACATCCCAACACATTCAGTCAGTTTGGATGAGCTGTACATGTAATTATATAACCTTGTTTTGTCATTGGGATAAACAAATTCATTTCTTGACATATGTCTTGCATTCTGAACCTATTATCATATTTGCCCTTCTCTTCGGATTCCTTTTTAATCAAGTCACATTCTTCTTAAAATAGGGTGACCCAAACTGAATACAATCTGCAGCAGAGTAATGTACATAATTTTTACCAAATAAACATTTGGGTTGAATGTTCATACTTTTTTAAATAGAAAAATCAACTGAGACATATTCTGAAAGAGTTCAATCATTGCTGAGAATATGACATTTGCACTAAAAACAGCACACCCAGCTAAAACCTCTTTGCCAAAATCAGTGAAGGGCAATAAAATGGTTCCAGAAGTCCATGCCTAGCACCAAAACAGTTAGATTTTCCCAGTGCCCCACTTCAAAGAAAAATGACACAAGCATGAAAACACCCAGAGCTTTCTCTCTCCTACTAGTAACAACATGTGGTGTGTGGCTTACTGAATCATATGGTATGTGTTCTTTTGGTTTCTTAAAACAAATTTTTGCTTAACCTCTGCTGTGACCCAGCGTGTAAACATGGGTACCAAGATATGCTCAATTTCGGCTTCTTTGCAAAACCAAAATGTTTGCTTATGTGGTGACCATTGAAGGAGGATGCCTGTCCTGATTAACCCCTCGATGAATATTTGCTGTTTACTTCCTGAATTAATTTTCTCAGTGACCCTAATTGCAAAATTCTTGATTGTGTCAAAACACCTAATGCTTATGCATGCCTTGTTTGTTCTTCCATTATACTGTTGATCTCCTACTTTAAATTAAAGGTCTAGACATGATGTCTATGAACCTGCCATCAGATATTTGCCATCACCCTCCCAATACCTTTGAAGCTCAGAAGGAAGAAAAATGCAAATCTGGATGTGCCACAGCCAACCAGTCTTCGCCATCTGCCATAAACTTTTTTTCAAATCACCATGGTTGGTATTTATTTATTTATTTATTTATTTATTATTTACAGTATTTATATTCCGACCTTCTCACCATGCAGGGGACTCAGGGTGGATTACAATGTACACATATATGGCAAACATTCAATGACAAAAACACACAACGCATAAAGACAGACAGTCAGAGGCTATTTAATTTTTCTGGCCGCCAGGGGAGCTTTCGCTTTCATCGTCCATCTGCGACACTGATTAAGTACTTCTGCATTCCCCGCATGCTTTGCTGGAGTCTTTTTTATGGCCTTGTAAATTAGTTAAATTAGCCTCCCCACACATAGGTGGTACCTAATTTTCCTACTTGACAGATGCAACTGTATTTCGAGTTGCAAAGGTCGACAACAAGCTACACAATTGGTCAGAAGCTCACTCCGACCCAGGCTGGCTTCGAACTCATGACCTTCAGTCACAAGTGATTTTAATGCAGCTGACACAGCCAACTGCGCCACAGTCCATATTAGTGAGGAGGTATCAATGGCATGTAAAGCAGTGGGGATATCTTCTGTTGATATGTGCTTTTTTCTTTCCCTTTGCAGTTTTGATTGCAACCCAAGGTAACTACATGTAAGCAAAGTCATCAAAACTTATGTTGAGCAGAACAGATTTGCAACAGTCATGGAGTCCAACAATGGTACTTCAAATAGAATTTGATTTCAAAATACAAGGAATTT